GTACCTACTTGCTTTTGCTATGGATGGCAGAGCAGATCCCCACCTCTGACCTGTCTGTGCAATAAGATGGGCTTTTCCACACATCCTCAGACATTTAGTTCCTCCTTTGGGGACTCAAGAAACCAGCCAAGAAAGATAAGAGGACTAAATCCCTATGTGCGGTACAAAACGCATTTTTAGCTGCTGAGACCCAGTGTTCACCTCAATTCATCTCAAAGTGGTTTTGGTCTAGTGGGCAAGGAAGTTGAAGGAAGACAAGGCAATGAGAAAAGTCCAAGGGGATCATAAACATGCTGAGCCAAAGGCAATGCTGTCAAAATCTACTTTTCTCCTCTTCAAATCTTCACTTCCAAGAAGATATTACAATATCCTCAGTGCCCTTGACTGCTTGCCACTCCTGGGATGCAATCATCAACTCAGCCAAAAATGGAGCCACTTCAAAACCTGCCTGCAATACAGCTGCCCTCAAGCAGTCTGCACATGGCTGACTACACACGCTTTCACTTGCTGCACACCAAACGTGTTTGCATGGGGCACAGGGAAGGTGCATAGGAGCAGAGGTAAGCAGTCAGTCCCACGTGCCTCTGGCCATGCACAGGTACCACACCTGGCAGAGGTTCCTCCCAGTCATTCCCCTGCACTGCACAGTCAGGCATTTTTGACCACCCCAACTAGAGGTGCTCCAGTGTAAAGCTGAAGGTGCAGCCTCTTCATCCTTGAAATCCTGACATGTATGGACCTTGAGAATGCAAGACAGCAGCTCTCTGGCCTAGGGGAACATCGCAAGCATCATGTCTTCCCATCCCTCCATGAACAGGTCCTATGAGCTAGCCCTGCACAGCCCTCCTCTGCAACAGACACTCCAGCTGGCACTGCATAGGGGTTTAAATGAAGAAACCAGAAGAAATCTTACAGCATGTGATGTTCCACACAAAGGGAATAGGACAGAATATAAGGACAGAGCTTTTCTAGAGGGCAGAAGTTAGTGTGATCCAGGTCCTGGGCTGCCAGGATGCTCATCTTCAGCAGACGGTGCAATGCCTGATATTCATACCTGCCAGTATCCCTGCCAGCCTTGCATTTCAATCATAATTGGATTTTAGCAGCTGCTTTCTGTCTTTTAGATACATACCCCTCAAGCAGCTGTAAAATTCAAGTTTAACTGGGTAGATAGAGCCTCTTGTAAAGCACTTGGGACTTGGGGAGGGAGGGAGCTTCAGAAATTCAGAGCTTTATTGCCTTATGTCAGAATTTGAGAGGGCTCCATCCCTGGCCTCGTTGCTCCACTAGCTCTTGAGACAGCACTACTGAACTGGTGTCGGTGCTGCAGAGAGAAAAAGCAAGATGAATAGAGGAAAACAGGCAGCGGGGATGCTTGAGGCTGGCTGACGTGATTTGCAATAGCTAGAGAGGTCTGCTGACGGCTCTTACCTCTCCTTCAGCAACTATCCTCTTATCTACTCTCCTTGTCCCTGATTTCACCTCTCTGCTTCACTCCACCAGTGAGCCCAAACCCCAGCTCAGGTTGGTGCTGGGCATAATTCAGTCCCAGCCTAACCTGGCAGCCACAACAGCATCTGCACATCTATTATACCCATTTGGGAGGCGGAGGTCAGCCTAGGCAGCATATGGAGCAACTGATGGCGAATACCGGAGCTCCCCGGGAGCTGTCTGCCACAGATGGAAAAAGCCCAGGAGCCATCATGACAAAACCTCCTGGCTGGAGGCGACGCATCCTCCCTGTCGGCTTTCCAAGCCGCTGAGCAGTACTGCAAACCTCAGCTCCTGTCCTGCTGTGAGCATGCCTGGCACTGACTTACTCCTGCTGCTTTGGTCCTGTGGTTTGTCGGTGGGAGTAGCAGAAGGTGGGATGTGGAGATGAGGTAAACCCAATGGCATGTGGCTACCATGAAGGAGAGGGACTAGCCATCCACTCCAGCAGCATCAGCTGGTGTCGTGTGATGTAGATGTGTCACCTAGATCTGGGTCCAGCCTGCTGTGTGGTCGAGGGAATTTGTAACCCCTGACTTTTGGTGGGGGTGAGATATTCCACCACAGAACCATACAAGGAGAATAGGCATTCCTTTGAACGGTCCAGGGGCTTAGTCAACATACAACCAAGAACACCATTAATGGCAGTGAAATGCAGGCAGGTCACCAGGAGCAATGCTCCAGCTGTGAGATCTCCCAGGACAAGGAACATGATGTAGTCAATAGAAGCCATGATATTTGCATGGCTGAAACCACCCACAACCCAAGCACAAGCTTGCAGCCCTGCACTGGCCAGAGGCAGGCAAAGAGAGCCCCCACGGTTTCTCCAACTCAGATTCCTTGGAGCATTGCAATTCCTCTCCACCTGAAACTATTCCACTGGCTGCAATCTAAAAACAAAATCAACCCAGCAAACATTGCTAAGCAACTGGCTGTCAGTGCCACATCACACCCTGCCGAAACTATTTGCCCTCTCCAAGGCCTTCTGGCAAGGAGCTTGCTGCTCAGCCCTTGCCAGATTTTGTGTATTTAGATATGGTTGGCAAGTCCAAATGCTTGGATGGATTAGCAAAGAAAACTCCAGGAAATCTTCTGCAACCGTCCTGGTGAAAAACATCCCACAGAGAAGCTGTAAGGAGCAGCATTCCCATGTCCCAGACCCTGGATCACGATCATGAGGTGCTGATCTCAGGGCATTACTATGGTCTGCAGGTCTGTGAGTCTTGATGCTGCCACTTGTCATACAGAAGAGAGAATAAATGGAGAACAAACACACTGAAAACCTGACTGCAGAGCAAGCTGCTTCAGGCAGCAACATCTGGGTGGGAGGTTGAGGAGAACCTGCTTGCCCATGGTGATGAACTGAAGAGTTAGGTGAGACCCTCTCCAAAGTCTCCTGACCCCTCATGTGCATGAGCCCCTCAGCATGGTGGTGCCCCTCAGTACAGCTCCTGGCGTGGTGGTGCCCCTTGGTGTGGGGCCTGTGCTAGGATGTACCTTCCCCCAAGGTCAGCTGGAGCAGAATTGAGGTCCCACTCTATGGGTTCCCCCTCAATCAAGCTTGAGCACTTTCAGTCTGGCTCACACAAAGCAGACTGAGCCAGGTTTGCCATTGAACCCAAGTCTCTAAGCACAGCCTCCAGCAGGTCACACAGCTCTGAGGGCTTCCCATCTCTCCTGGTAGCCTGGTCCACGGTACTCTGTTATCCCCTTCACAGGAGGGACCTCTCCTAGTTAGCCCCATGCTGGGCTGTCTTTACATGTTCTTGCACTGTCATCAGCAACTTCCCCCTGCTTCACAAACGGGCCGTGCTCCTCCATGCTCTCCCATCCAGCTCCCAGGTTGCACAGTAATGATTGAACATCACCTGTGACACCTCCTGGCACACCTCTGCCCTTAGCAAGCATTATCTTTCCAGAGAGGGCTTAGCTCTGCACCTTCCTCTCCCCATTGACCACTGTGCCCAGACCCTTCTCTCTGCTCCAACCTCCCCATCAGCTCCTGCCTGCCCCATATCTCCCAACAGCCCCATTTCCTCTGTGGCCACTCTAATGCTCGCCTAATGGTGCGCCATCCGCAGCGCTCTTCAGACATATTCAATAAATCAGAATCCAATTACCGGGTTAAGGAAATTGGAAGCAAATGCAATTAGCTCCAGCCCCTCCCTCATGCTGTGCCCTTGCTTCCTCCTTAATGAGAACTTTTCTTTTGCAGGAGCACTCCGTGCCGCATCCGCCCGCCCAGGAACAAGGTTGCTGCCACCACACAGCAGGGATACAGTGAGGGGGCAGCTGAGTCGATCTTCCCTTTTAATAGGGCAGGTGGTTAATATCCCTGGCATTAATTCTCTCCAGGAATAGCACACTCGCTCTGTGCTCAGCTATAACTGGCGTCCATCAGGGCTGACAGCTCCTCTCTGGAGAAAGGAGCATCTGGTCCTTACTACGAAGAGGAGTTAAAGGGATAAATAAATAAATAAATAAGCACAAGGCTTGCTGTAGGAATGGAGATCTGGTGCTGCTTCAGCACGTCAGCCTAACTGCTGCTTTTGGACTGGAACAGGGGAAATGCAGAGCTGGATCAGATGCTGGGAGCTCAGTTGCCCTGACCTGGGAGCAAGGTGCTGTGGCTGGGTCTAGGACAGAGCTCCCACCAGAGCAGTATGTCCCCAAAAAGGGGTCCCAGGAGCAGGTAAGTGAGGACACCTGCTGCCAGCAGGCTGGGATGTAATGCCAGACACAGCTCCTTGGGAAGCACCAGCTGTGGGCTGGGGATCACCGATGCGGGCCAGGTGTATGCTGTACCCGCAGAAGACAAGGAGGAAAACTGCATCAAGGGAACCTTGGGAGTATTTTCTACACCAGCATCACTCTATCCAGCAGACCAACAATTAACTCCACCAACCATCAACAACCTGCAGCTGCAAAGGGCAGCTCTTCCTTTTTGGCCTCTTGCAAGAGGTCCTTTGGGCTCCAAAGGGTATTTTTGACCCCGATGGTGCTGAAGTGGCTAGTAACCTAACAAGTTCTTACCTTCCTCTCCCCCTCAATTAGCAATAATCCCTTAGTTCTTACATTAGCTCCTCTCTCTGCTGAGCAAAATGAGTTCTCAACAGTTATTTTATCTCCCTTGCACCATACCACTGCCTCATCTGCAGAGCAAGAGTGCACAGCACCAGTTAAGACTTTGCCTGTTGTAGAGGTGCTTTCTCACAATATCCATTACTTTTCTGAAGGAACAGCAAAAAAAAAAAAGGCTTTTCCTTTCTTTTCCTGTAGTCCTGGCATAATTTATACAGGATTTAATGAATGGGTTTAGGGCTTCCAGACATGCCAAGAATTCAAAGTGAAAGGTTCAATCCTAAAAATACAACCCAGGCAAAACCAATCTCAAGTGCACCCACAGGGCATGAGTGAAGGGCCCACCTAGCATCCCAAAACCACATCCCTGAGGAGGAATGAGTCTATGCACCCATATAATACAGTTTAATGAGGAAGATCAGGAGAACCTGTGATGACGGGTGTCGCGGACAGCGCGGTCACTGGGGATCCTCTCGCTCTCCCGCTGGTTAAAGGCATGGAGCCGGTACGGGTCCTCGCCGCCCTTCCACCTCCGGGCGCTCAGGTACCTCCGCTCTTCAAACTGATCCCAAAGGTCGTCCCAGTCCACATCCGAGACCTGCATGCACAAAGTCAGCCCCATTAGAGAGAGAAGAGACCAGAGAACACTTGACCCCATTCCAGAGGTCCTCCCAAGCCCCACCGGAGGTCAGTCAGCCCTGCAGCAGGGGCAGGCACCACAGCAGCAGGCTAACAAGGAGCTTCATTAGGTCTTCAGGGCTTGATTTTTCCTTAGGTCTTGAAACAGCACGTCAAAGAGAGCCTGCCGATTTGAATTTAAAATGACTAATTGGAAACCAGATTTGGGTCCCTGCTGGATCCAGAGAGACAGCACAGGCTCAAGCAATATAAAACTCAAAGGTCTTGGTAGGGTTTTGATCTCCCTCCAACTGCAAAACAAAGGTATTTTACATCCCCCTCACCCCCGTAACCCTTCAGGCAAGAATGAGCCATAGGACAGGAGCAGTTTTGTCAAGCACAGTCCCATGTTTCCATATCCATACCCTGCCCTAGGATTCACTCAAGCAACAGGACCCTGAAATAAAGAGGCCGTCATCCTCCCAGCCCAACTTTGGTCTATGTTTGCCACAACAGGTCTCCCATCGAGGACTTCAGCCCTACTGCAGGAAGAAGAGCAGGCAAGCTGGTGCCCCTGTGGTCCCCCACCTCAAAAAGGATGGAGGAGCTGCATTTGGAGTTACTCGACAGCTCCGACAGCCATCAGGGGGTTTAAACATCCCTTGGCAGCTTGGTGCCATCAGGAGGTTTAAGCATCCCTCAGCAGCATGATGCTGTCAGGGGGTTTAAGCGCTCCTTGGCAGCCAGTGAGCACAATGCAGCACTGATAAGATCTCATCGTTACAGCAACACAACCTCTTTGATCTCAGCCTACCTGTAACACAGAGAGATGCAAACACCTACAGACATCTCAGCCCTAAAGAAAATTGTGATCTTATCCAATAATTGATCTTTTCTTCTTGTCTTCCCTTACCCCCCCCCTTCAATTCACACCATCTCAAAACTGATTTTCCCTGCTAATATTGCAAAATGAAGCTTTTGAAATGGGTGATTTTTATCCTGTAATTGATTTTACTTGCATCTGGTAGCGCGTTTTCTCTAGTCACAGGAAGGGGAGGAGGGAGCACCAGCTCCTGCAAGTGAATCACAGCAGGACCAAGCCAGGCACCTCCAGCAACATGATGCCCCACACCACCCTGGGTCACAGCAACAGAAGCACCCCCAAATATCCAACAGAGCCCAGGGATGCCAGGGTTGTATTCATCCTCCCTCAGTGTGATCCCATGGTCTTCTCAGGAGCAACTCCAGCACTTAACCCCATTGCAGGAAGATAAGAAGAAACCCCCAAGCCACCATCCATACCAAGAGAAAGTTATTTTGGACTAGAGTGAGGTGTCCCTGCCCATGGCAGGAGGCTGGAACTTGATGATCTTCAGGTTCTTTCCAACCCGAACCATTCTATGATTCTATGGATCTGGAAGAAAGTTATGAAACCGGTAAGGCCACTGCAGGAGGTTTATAAGGAGGATGGATGTAACCCGCCTGCGGGCTCTTGGGAGGACCGACGTACACAGGGTGATAAATATTCTTTATGCTTTTTCTAAGGCATCTTGCAAAAGGAGATTTACTGCGGCAGTAAAAGATGAGGGGAAAGTGAGCCGATTGCATCGCCCAGACACCGGCAGCCTGACATTTGTAAGTCTTCATGATGACCCCAGGAGGACGGGCGCTGCTAAAACCACCGCCACGGATTTGCAGACCCTTAATTTTAATACTGTGAAGAAAAGTTGGTCTTACCAAACTTAATAAGGAGAGAAATGGCTTTTTAAAGAGTCCACACGGCACTCCGGTGTGTTGGATGTGTATATATGTTTTTATGTTTTCTTAAATGTCAGTTAAACCCAATAGCCTTGGATCAGCCAGATCTGGGCAAGTCTCTGACAGCTGGTAGATTACCATGGGCAGCCATGGCATCAGGAAAAGTGGAGCTTCTGCACACGCTATAAGGGCAGCAAGGCTCTGGTCAGGCCAGCAGAAGCATGGGGTTGGTGCACTGGAAGAGTCCTGCCACATGCCTAAAGGGCTGGGACAACGTTTCCCCAGCATCCATCTAACCCCACTACCATCCTCTCAGCAGGGGGTCCCAGCTGTAAATGGATACACAGAATTTACCAGTGCCTCATCCCATGGCATTTGTTTCTCATCCTGCCCCGGGTATACCTTGCGTCCAAGGCTTGCATTCTTGGTTGACCCCGCAGTGAATAACAGCCCCATAAAATCTCTACCTGAAAGAGATCAGCCCATCTCGATTCACTCAGGCTCTCGTTTTTGGGTTGAGGAAAGCTATAAGTAGGATGATTCCTAAATATCAGGTAGCTAAATACATATCTGAGATCAAGAGCAAAGAGATGCTCCTGAGAGACTGGAGATTAAAGGGTTATTTTAATCGTTATCTGGCCACAAAACAAGCTCAGGGGCTGGGTTAAGTTTCTCAGCCAGAAGTAGGTATCTGGCTTTGGTCATCTGCTTTCAATCCACATCTCCTAAATCTTCTGGGTGTTCTCCAGTTTTCCAATGCAAACTTCCCTACAAGGCTAACTGAAGTCAGAGCAGGACACTCACACACACACACCCCCCAACCTCGCTGCACAAAGCAGAAAGGGAAAGTGAGGCAGCGTCCTCAGATGAAGAGCTCCCCGCTTATGCAAGTGGTGGGAGGCAGGAGACCTCCCCAGTCTGCACACAGGGACTCCCCTGTTCCTTGGTGCCTGACCAGGGACAGGGAATGCCAGTTAAAGTGTAAGGAGGAATCCCCTTCAGTCACCCAGAGACAGCGCATTGGTCACGGATTACTGGGTACAGTCTTCATTATAATATTTCCACCATGTATTATCACCTCTTCCTCACACCAGAATCCCGTCTTGGGAGTTATTTAACTGATGTGCTGAAATCTGAATTTAATTTATTATGATCTAACTCACTTTAGAAGCCAAATTACCCTGCACTAGAAAAGGATCAAGTCAATACTCCACTTGCCTTCCTATTTATCTTCTACAGGGCTCCTCTCTCCAAGTTTCATATTCATTTTCTCTCATGTACTAGTAATAAATTTTCATTTTTTTTTTCCTTGGAATTAGGTAATTTCTCTTTCAACATTGCAGTTTAATGGCTGGTATTAATTATGGGAAACACAGTCAATGCTTAAGAGAGTTTGAGAGACTCAACGAGTCTGCAGGAAAGAGAGGAAAATAATATCCAAGAGGTAGTCATCCACCCTCAGCCAGCAAACACCACCCTGCATTGAGGGCATCCCTGGGGGGGTCAATGGGAGAGATCCTCCAGGCAAAAAGACACAGAAAAAACTCAATGAGGAGAGGATTTTTTATGTCACATCAGCACGTACTTAAGAGCTTATCCACCAGCTCACTAAAACCACCTGCTAAAGGCACCCCAAAAAGCTACCTGCCACCTCACAGGCAAAGGGCAAACAGCAAACCCCTGGAGCAAGCACGGACGCAGCTTTTCACTGCAACTGTACATCAAAGACTGAAAGCCTCTCGGTGTAAAGATGTAATTCATCATCTGCCTCTTAAATCATGGCTCGGAAACAAGAAAAAAAAGGGGAAAAAATACCAAGAAAACCCAAGGAGCGGTGCTGCAGGGGGAAAGCGGGTCATTAGCAGTAAAACTACAATTTTCTGGCAACTGCTAATGCCTTGTTTATGTGGATTTCTGCAAATATGACATTTTAATGGCATAATAATTGTGTGATTACAGTACAGCAGGGATCGCTGGAGCGGGAAGGAGGAATGAGCAACCTAGCCAGCTGCTGCTGCAGGCCCGCAGTGTCACCATGGGATGCTCTGTCCCTCCTGCCTGCACCCACTGGGTAGGTCACGCTGGTCCCCAGTCAGGATGCGTCTGCCCAGGAAGGAAAGGAGAGGGTGGCACAAGCCAAAAGTGGGCTCTGATTCGCTTTCTTCTTTTGCGGCACTGTTGTAAAAGGAAGAACTTAAGCCTTTGCTAAAATTAATGCTATTTTCCTTTTAGAGATGCTGGATGTTGCCATTAGACCAAGGTGGATCAGACCAGCACCAAGCAGAAAAAACTCATCCCTGCATAATACGGGACCAAACCTGACCAGTGCCTCCATCCTGCCTTCATGGGACTCAGGCATGAAGAAAAGGAGGAAAAGGGAAATAAATACATCAGCCAAGCAAAATGTCCTATAAACAAGCAAAAACTCTAGAAACTCAGATGCTGTGCAACATGTTGCTGCCCAGCCAAGCTCAGTCACTCCTCTGCCTGCAAAGGTTGGAGCAAGCATACGTGCTCGGCACAGCTCCAGGGCACTGGAGGCGGAGGGCAATCTTTCAGCAGGAATTGCAACCAGGCATTATACAAATGAGATTTAAATGTCTCACCGAAGCGTGGATCCCCTGCAAGCAGCAGGTTCAATTATAGAGGTGTTACTGGCCGAGGCACTAATGCCATCTGAAAGGATTATAATACTTCAAACAGGGTAGGGCTCATCCCTCCTCGTCCCCTGATGCCAGCATTGAGAGAGCCAGCAGCCCCAGCTGGGAAAGGAGCAGGGCAGCATCATGGTGCCTCAGTCCTCTTTCCTGTCTCCCTGAACAGCGCAGATGTGCACTGAGGTATGAGATCCTTGAGTTGAACTTTGGTGTAGTTTTCCCAACAGCAGAGCCCAGCAGCCTGGCTTAGCCCTGTGTGCACACTGCTGCACATCCCAGTGGCCTCATCCCCAAGATACACTGGGGAGACACACAGAGAGCACCATGGCCGTGCTCTTTGCCCTGTCTGAAAATCATATGACAGTGCCAAAATCAGGCTGCAAGCCTCTGGATAACAAGCTTCATACTCATCTTGCAGCACAACGTCCTGTACATCAGGTACCACTCAGCAGCAAACAAGCACCGACCCTGGAAGGGTCCTTTCTCTTATCCCCCTTCCCCAAACTACATAGCCCCCCAGGCCAATCAACCACTTAAATACAAACTTAAGCAACTCCAGGCATTT